TATTTGAGAATACTCTGAAATAAAATTTTTTAATGTTATTTTTCTATAACAAACATTTTGCTCACCTATTCGTTCAGTGAACATTAATTCAGGACCTGAGATATAACAACCATAAAAGCTTTTCTTCTTTTAAGATTCTTTTTTAATCTTGAACATAGGAATAGTGAAACAGTGAATCTTTATAAACCTTACCAGTGATCTGAAGTTGTGATTTCATGGTTAGGCTACCCATTGAACCAAGCTGTGATCCACTGTCAGACATACCACCAAGCGGAAAGCACACCTAAACAGGGTAAAGGAGACACTGTAAATATCAACAATCCCCATTTAAAACATGCATAAACACACAGTTATCTGGTCATTTTCTCCTGAAGGCCTCATAATAACTAATGGCCTTCACACTTAATTATTTTCAACTCTGTATTTGTCCTACCTAACCTAGTTGACCATTCCCTCCTATGTGGTTTACTTTCTTTTCTGGAGCTACCAAGACATGGCCTCTAGATTTATGTTCTACCTCACTGATTATGCCCTTCTTTTAAGTCTTCTTTGAAGATACCTTTTCTTCCTTCTACTTTTTTTTTTTTTAAGTCATAATAAGAACAAAGTGTTTATTCAAAAGTGGTAACAGAACAACTCAAAATGCAGCATACGGATGAGAAACATCTTACCGGCCAATAGAGTTAGTTCTCACTAAATTTTATTTATTTATTTATTTATTTATTTATTTATTTATTTATTTATGTGTGTGTGTGTGTGTGTGTATGTGTGTGTGTGGCCAGCTCAGCCCACCAGGGCGCGGGGCTGGCTGGCATGTGGTGCTGGGGGATTGAACCGTGGTCCCTGTGCTTTGCTAAGCTTGTTCTAAGTAGGTGCTTTAGACCACTGAGCCATCTCACCAGCCCCTGCTCCTGACTTGATTTTTTTTTTTTTTTTTTTCCCCCGGTACTGGGGATTGAACTCAGGACTTTGTGCTTGCCAGGTAAGTGCTTATTCCACTGAGCTATCTCCCTGGCCTTTTTTTTTTTTTTTCTTTTTTTCTTGATCTTATTTCAACTCCTGAGGCACCTATGCTCTGTTCCTGAAATACATCAGCATATTTTGTTTGTTTACTGTGAATCAAACTCAGGACTTTGTACTTGCCAGGCAGGTGATTGTGCCTCTGAGCCACATTCCCAGCCCACATCAGCATACTCTGGTCTTGCAATCTTATGCTTGATAATATTAAAATCTGCTCAACCTACTCTGGTCATTCTTTTCTTCTATAAAGACTTCCTAGGGGCCGGGGAGATAGCTCAGTAGAATAAGTGCTTGCCTGGTAAGCACAGGGCCCTGAGTTCAATCCCTGGTATGGGGGGGGGGAAGAGATATAATTTCCTGGTATACAATCAATCTACTTGGTAAATACATTTCTTGTTTTCTAACAGGCTGTAATACACATTCCAAGTGGGCAGGAATCTGTGTTCTCTGATGAAGCTGAGAAGCCCAAAACAGTGGCTTGACACATAATAAATGTTTAATTGCTGGTTCAGAGAAATCAACAAGGGGCTGGTGAGATGGCTCAGTGGTCTAAAGCACCTACTTAAAACAAGCTTAGCAAAGCATAAAGGACCACGGTTCAATCCCCCAGCACCACATGCCAGCCAGCCTTGCCCCCTGGTGGGCTGAGCTGGACACACACAGAGAAATCAACAAAGATCTAGTTAGTGAATTATACTACATGAACTACTCTAACACACGTCTTTTTCATCCTACCTAGCCTAAAGTACATAGCAAGACCTATCTCTAGATAGGTAGATAGATAGGTAGGTAGGTAGACAGATAGATGATAAATAGATCGATCCAAATGTGTTCTTTTGTTTTAGAGGGTTTTTTTTTGGGGGGGCGATTTTTCTTCTTGTGCTTTTTTTTTGGTTGTTTTTAAGAGATATGCTCTTAAAATGAAAATGTGTTCTTAAAGGTTTGGACTACTGGGTAAAGCTATCAAAAAGTTTTCAGATGAGAAAAGGTTAAGATGAAAAAAAACGAACTATATTTATTTAGTACTTACTATTTGCCAAGTACTATGTGAGAGATGTAATTGGACGTATAATAAAATATATTGAGTTTTTATACAAAATTAGATCATTTAAAAAAAAAAATCAATATAAGGGCCAGGGATATGGCTCAGTGGAATAGCGCTTCCCTGGCAAGCGTAAGGGCCTGAGTTCAATCCCTGGTTCTGCAAAAAATAAATAAATAAATAAATATCAATCAATATAAAATTATTTTGGTGTTCCTGAATCTGCCAAAATAAAATGAAACAATAATTCTCACTGAGATAAATTCTATGAAGTCCAGAATGTTTCATTCTTCGACTTACACATAAAAGAACCCTCAAAACTAAAAGTAGTCAGCTATACTGACTACTCATTCCCTTAGTGATAGATACAGATATATCTTCTTTATTTTTTATTTTTTGGTGGAATCAGGGATTGAACTCAGGCCCTTGCGCTTGCCAGGGAAGCGCTTATTCCACTGAGCCATCTCCCTGGCCCAGATCTTCTTTATTTTTTTTTTTTTTTTTTTTTTTGGTGGAACCGGGGATTGAACTCAGGCCCTTGTGCTTGCCAGGGAAGCACATATTCCACTGAGCCGTCTCCCCGGCCCCATTTTGGTTTTATAACCCCAATACACTGAGTCTTTCTAAGTACATGCCATAAAGTCATAAGACTCCCAGGATATAAGAGAAATCAGATTTTAAAAAGCCTTACCACTGTATTTCACAAATTAAAATGATTCAAAATGCTTGTATACGAAAGGCCCTCCCAGTGAGATGCTGCACTAAATATATTAAAGGGGGGGGGTAGGGAGAGGGTTCAGTGGAATAAGCGCTTCCCTGGCAAGCACAAGGGTCTGTGTTCAATCCCCGGTTGGGGTGGGGGGTGCAGGCCCTCCCTGGGGGCCAGGGAGACAGCTTAGCAAGCACAAGGTTCAATCCCCATAATGGGGGTTGGGAAGGGGGGCAAAAAAGGCCCTCCCAATACCTCAAAGACTGTATGTCACAAAACTACGATATTAAGACAAATTAAAAAGCCAAGGGCTGGCAAGATAGCTCAGCAGTCTAAAATGCCTGCTTAGACAAGTTTAGGCAAGCACATGCCAGCCCCACTTCCAGGATGCACTGAGCTGGCCACAAAAAAAGGGGAGGGGAGGAGAGAGGGGAAGAGGGAAGAGGCTTTGGGGAGAGGGGAAAGGGGAGATGGGAGAGGGGAGAAAGGGAGGGGAGGAGGGGAAGAGGGGAAGAGGGGAAGAGGGGAAAAAGGGAAGGGGGAGAGAAGCCAACTGGTTGGGTTTGTGTATGTGTTGCGGACTATATTAGAACTTGATGCTGTCATTCTTTATCATACTATTACAAGAGCTGTAATAAAAATATGGAATCTAGGAGAAAAAGTTAATTTGTCAAACTTACATAAGCATGATGCTGGGGGCAACCCGCTCGGGTCCCCCTTCTGTCCTCTCTGAGACAGAAGCTTTCTTTCCCAATATAATATTCTACTCTCAACCTCCGTTTGTTCCTAAAATTCATTCTTCGGTTTTAGAGACACGAACTCATCCAGGTCAGGTCAGGAGTTTTACTTTCCTGTATCATTTGGAGGTCATCCACCGAGATCACTGGACGGAGATATGGGAATCTCACAGTTAAAGTCACTTACCCTTTAGAGTGCATCATTAAGCACTGGAAGACATTTGATCCAAAAAGCCATTTAATATTTTTCTGCACATGACCTACTTGGGAGGGACCCTACACAGTGATCCTGTCAACTGCTTCAGCTGTCAAGACCACAGGCCAGGACTCTTGGATACATCACACTTGACTCAAACTCTGCGAACCAGAAACTGCCACTAAAAGCAAACAATCTGAATACTCCTGTGAGCCCATAGAAGACTTAAGATTCCTGTTCAAAAATAAAGAGAAATACTCAAAAAAAAAAAAAAAGCATGATGCTGAGCCAAGGAGATAGCTCAGTAGAATAAGCGCTTGCTTGCCTGGCAAGCACAAGATCCTGAGTTCAATCCCTGGTACCACCCAAAAAAAAAAAAACATAAGCATAATGCCAGGGCCAGCCAAATAGCTCAGTAGATTAAACCACCTGCAAGCAGGTACAGGAGCCAGGAGTTCGATCCCTGGGCTTGCCCTTTTGGCCTGCGCCCCAGGGTGCACTGAGAAGGCAATTAAGACTGGGCGTGGTGGCACGCACCTGTAATCGCAGCTTTTGGGAGGCTGTAAACAGGCAGATCACTATGAGTCTGATCTAGTAGTGAGACCCTGAACATCCTATAGACCTTTCCCTAAAATACAAAAAAAATAAAATAAAATAAACATAAGCATGATGCCTAGGTCCTATTTTCCAATTTTATAACTTTTGTTCCAACAAAATTTGTATTGTCATTTAAAAATAGGAAAGGCCAATATCTAGGTGTTGATTTTTTGCATGATAAAAGTACAATTTTAGTCACTGACCTATATGGACAGTTTCAATTACTTATTCCTAATATTAATTACAGCCAAGCATAGTGGTACACACCTATAATTCCAGCCAAGAAAGGAGAATGCAAGTTGAAATCTGGCCTGGGCAACTTAACTTAGCATGATTCTCTCAATAATAAAAAAGGGATAGGGATGTTGCTCAGTCAGTACAAGAGTTGGACAGCCTGAACTGCATAGTGAGATCCTATCTCAAAAAAGACTAAAAAAAAGGAAGACAAAAAGACAGAGGGGCTGGTGAGATGGCTCAGTGGTCTAAAGCACCTACTTAGAACAAGCTTAGCAAAGCACAGGGACCACGGTTCAATCCCCCAGCACCACGTG